AGTGTGCAGAGCTCACCCAGGGTGCAGGCCTGGCACCTGAGCAACTCGCTGCCCCTCGGACACACCCTGCGCTCACACTCTGCCCCTCACTGGGAGGGCAGGCCTCGTACCCGCAGCCGGGAGGGGCGGGGGCACGCACCCTTTGGCAGAGCGCAGGGAGTGCCCGCGGCAGCACCGCCCTCTCCTGGGGCCAGACCGCTTCGGAGCTGACCTGTCCTCCAGCGACAGGGAGTCCAGGGCAGGCGCCTTCGTCACTGGCCACCGCCACACCCTTAACCAGCTTATTCAGGGACATGTCTGCTTTCTCAGCAGAAGATGCGCACCTGCTGCATTCTTCTCCTCCCACAGGAGGCGAGCTCAGGGTCCAGAAATCAGACGTGCGGACGGACAGATGGACAGACACAGCCTCACCCTCACCCTAGGCCTGTGCCGCACCTGCAACCAGGGTGGGGGCTGCCCTGCCCACCAGCATCCTGCCTCCCACCCAGCGTCCTGCCTCCCACCCAGCGTCCTGCCTCCCACCCAAGCGTCTTGCCTCCCACCCAGCATCCTGCCTGCTTCCCACCCAGCGTCCTCCCACCCACCCAAGCGTCTTGCCTCCCACCCAGCGTCCTGCCTCCCACCCACCCAGCGTCCTGCCTTCACACGGGGTTTTAGGAAAAGCCTGCTGAGCTGCGGTGTCTGGCAGCGGAACTACCTGGAGTGGGGACTGCGGGAAGGGGGCGGGCTGCAGCAGAGCCTTCGTGGGCCGGGCTGGGTGGACTGCTTCATGGCGTACATTTAGTCAAAACACTGAGTGTCCACTGGACCATGAATGATGTGTCAGTTATACCTCAGAGCAGAGGATGCCTCTGGATGCAGGGGCCTGGCCAGCAGTTGGCATCCTTAGTGTCAGAGTTCATGTTACAGAGGGCGCTGATGTCCAGAGCACGAGGTGAGGCGTGCAACATCCCTTCCCAAGGACAGGCGTGTGGACATCCCTTCCCAAGGACAGGTGTGTGGACGTCCCCATCCCAAGGACAGGCGTGTGGACATCCCTTCCCAAGGACAGGCGTGTGGACAACCCTTCCCAAGGACAGGCGTGTGGACAACCCTTCCCAAGGACAGGCGTGTGGACGTCCCCATCCCAAGGACAGGCGTGTGGACGTCCCCATCCCAAGGACAGGCGTGTGGACGTCCCCATCCCAAGGACAGGCGTGTGGACGTCCCCATCCCAAGGACAGGCGTGTGGACGTCCCCATCCCAAGGACAGGCGTGTGGACGTCCCCATCCAAGGAGACAGGCGTGGGACGTCCCTTTTCAAGGACAGGCGTGTGGACGTCCCTTCCCAAGGACAGGCATGCGCCTTTCCAGTGGAGCCTAGAACCATGATCATCTCATCTTCCAGGACTTTAATGCCAGGGCAGCCATGATGCTGGGCCAGACAGGTGAGCCCTGGCGCGGGCGGAGCAGGCCAGGGATAGGTCCTGGTGGGGAACAGCCGAGACCACCGGATCAGATCGGGAAGCTGAGGGATGCAGCCATGGCCTCACTCAACTAAGGGCGGACTTCCCAGCTGCAGCGTCCCCCAGGTCAAAGTGAGCACCAGGGCAGGCCGGGCTGCCCTGCTTCCCTCCACACAGCTCAGGGGGCAGTGGGCTTGGGAAGGGCACTCACATGTGGACATGAGCTCCCACATACACACACCCCTCCACAGCACACGTGTGCATGCATACACAGCGCCCAAGGGACCCTGTCCCAGGCAGAGGGGACGGTGTCCCAGGCAGAGGGAACCATGTCCCAGGCAGACAGGATGTGAGCGGAGTGACATTTCATTCAGACCAGCAGAGGCAGGTCTGTGTCTCACATCTGCCCTGCGGTCAGGGCTGCCCCAAGCTCATCCCCTTTATGTCGGAGCCTCTGTTTCTTCAAATGCCATGTGGTGGCCGCCAGAGGCCACCTGGGGCAGGTGGAGAGGCTGCAGGAGGCAGCTGCTCCTGCGCTGTGGTCACTATTCTGCACGTGGGGATGCGGGGACCTGGGTCACAGTGGGCGCAGGACAGCCAGGCCGGCCTGGCCCTGCGGACTCACGGAGCTCCGCCTTTCCGCTCCGGGCTGGAAGGACCCGAGACCCAGGCCTCCGGGTGCGGTGCGGGTGCGGGTGCGGGTGCAGCCTGGGCAGCCTGAGGAGCCCCTGCGTGAGGAGGGGCTGGTTGTGGTCAGAGACGTGCCAGCCCCGCCCCCCACCCCACCCCTCCCTTCGAGCGGAACCAGGGCCTTGGGCCCCTGCGACTCCCCAGCTGGGGACAACCACTTCCTCTGCGCCTGCCCCACCCAGCCCCGTGAGCTGTCAGACTCCAGAGGCTTGGAGTGGGGGGTCAGGAGCAGGCAGCGGGGTGCTGTGTGCGCGCCTTCTCTCAGGAAGAACCGCAGAGTCTGAGCGCTGGCCTTGCCCTGGCTCACAGCTGGGCTGGCCCCGCGGCCCCACCCCAGAGCCAGCTGCTCGCGGGGCCTGCTGCCCGCTCCACGTCCCCATGTCCGCCACATCCCCATGTCCGCACACTGTGGGCCCTGGGAGGCCTGCGGCTCACCCTCTCCCTGAGGCACCACCCAGACAAAGCTGCAGGCTCCGGGCCAAGGGTGTGGAGGGCCCAGCCCCAGAACTGTGTGTGGGACCCCCCCCCCCCTTCTGGCTCAGGCCTGGAAGCCCGGCTGGAGTGGGGTCGGCCACTCCTGGGCTCAGATCATCGTTCCTGGAGACGAGACACCCGATGACCCAGCGCTGTCCCCGCTCTCGGCGTTCCCCAGGGACCCGCACGCTTGCCTCTGCACAGTGACACGACTGTCCACGGCAGGCGCAGTGGCCTGGGGGCACGGACACAGCCAGACACCACAGTGCCTCCTGGCAGCACCCCGATGCCGGGCTAGCTGGGAGCTGGTCAGTGTTTGAGACGGGACGTTTCTCAGGGGAGCAGTGTGGCCCGGGAGGAGGAAGTCAGCCCCAACCTGGCCAGACAAAGCTTCCACTAGGGACACCTTTACCAGGGGCTGCGCCCTCCGCGAGGCACCCCCGTCCTGCTCCGAATGCTCCCGGCCCAGAAGTGCCCTGCCGGACCGAGCCCCCACCACTCACCTGCCTCGGCGGCTGCTCCGGCCTTGGGCAGAGCACTTCCTCCTGTGGTTCCGCTGCCGTCACAGAGACAAGGGGTGCGTTTCCGCAGTCACACCCAGGCCGGCCCGAGGGGTTCATTTCCTAGCAAACCCGGCCCCGGGGGGCACTCAGCGCGGCCCACAGGGCGCTGGCCACGTGGCGCGAGGGCCGGACACAGGGCCCTCCGGGGCAGGAACGGTGACCATGCACAGAGGGGTGGGAACTCGAGAGGCCTCTGAAAATGCTTATTTCCAGGGGTGACGCCAGCCCTCCAGCCAGACTTGCCTCCCAGCGCCCACTGGGAGCAGGTACGCGCACATAACCACCCAGGGTCCTGCGCGGCTTAGGCCACAAACCCCTACCCAGTTCAAACGGTGGTTTCTTCACCCAACCTTACAGGCCTTTCACAAAACACAGTCATTTCCTGCGCTCCGGTTTCCTCACTGTCACACGGGTCACGTGGAGGACACAGGGAACTGAGTGACAGCTGGAGTCCACAAGGGCCTCGCCGGTTCCTTCACGGCTTCGGGCTTCCTGGGGCCCCAGTTCCCCCACATCCTGAGTGAGGCTCACAGCAGCTGGGCGGGGCTGCTCCCTCCCTCGGTTCCTCCAAATATTGACCAATGGTGGAGGCTGTGTGCTGGGAGATGGGCCCACTCCCCTCCAGGCAGACTTCCCTCCATCCCAAGACTTGAAAGGTTCCGCAAACAGGTCGCTGTGCCCTCCTAGCGGTCAGTGAGCCCCACCACTCACCCGGAACCAGCTCTTGGAGGGACTTCACCCAGGAATCCGCAGGACAGAGTGAGGACACGTCTGCCTGGCCCGCTGGCGGCCACCATCGCTGGGGACTCAGACCATCCACAGCGGGCAGCAGCGGACTGTGGCCGCGTCTCAGAGGCCCCTGAGTCCACCTTCCAGAGCTTCCAACATGCTCGGCACTGAGCCTCTTGGCCCGGTCACTCTGTAAAACGGAGAGAATGCGGGCGGCCGGCCTGTGGGAGCACAGCCCTGCAGCCATCCCGCAAG